ATATATTATATATATATATGTATATATACATATATATATATATATATATATATATATATATATATATATATATATATATATATATATATATATATATATATATATATATATATATACATATAATACATATATATAATATATACATATATATATATATATATATATATATATATATATAAATAATATAAATAAATATATAAATATATATATATGTATACACAAACATATACACACATACCACACACACATGCATACACACCACACCACACAACATATACATTATCTATATATATATATATATAATATTATTTATATATTATTATATATATATAATATAAATATATATATATCTATATATATATTATATATATATATAATTAATATTATATATATATATATATATATAATACCATATACATATACATATATAAATGTGTGTGTTCATTCTCTCTCTCTTTCTCTCTCCTTTTCTCCCCTCCTCCCTCCTTCTCCTCTCCTCCCTCTCTCCCTCTCCCCCTCCCTCCCTCCCTCCCTCCCTCCCTCCTCCCTTCCCTCCCTCCCTCCCTCCCTCCCTCCTCCTCCCTCTCCTCCTCTCTCGTGGTCGACTGAACGTGCTTTTCTACAATTCCTGTTTATATACGAGAGAACTGTCCCAAGTCCACTGGAATCAGGAACCTTCACTGAAAATCCCCTGTGTCTTTTCTTCTTAACTTTTTGGTTCTTATGTTACTGTGTTCTGGGGATGGGGGGGTGGGGGGTGGGTGGGGACGGTGGGGTGGGGTGAGGGATTTTTTGGGTTGTGGGAGTAGTGTGTGTAAAAGGGAGAGAGAGGGTGACGTGTTTGGTGGTTGGGATGGGAGAAATTTTGGTGGGTATTGTTGTTGTTTTTTTGAGGGAAGAAGAGGATAGAGAGAGAGAGAGAGAGAGAGAGAGAGAGAGAGAGAGAGAAGAGAGAGAGAGAGAGAGAGAGAGAGAGAAGAGAGGAGAGAGAGAGGAGAGAGAGAGCGAACAGAGAGAGAAGGACAGAGATGAGACAGACAGAGAGAAGACGAGGACAACAGAGACAGACCCGATAGATAGAATATGATAGATAATAGATAGATAGATCGATAGAATAGAGAGAAGAGGAGAGAGAGAGAGAGAGAGAGAGAGAGAGACAGACAGACAGAATAGATAGATAGCTAGATAGAGAGAAGAGAGAGAGAGAGAGAGAGAGAGAGAGGACAGAGAGAGAGAGAGAGAGAGAGAGAGAGAGAGAGAGAGAAACAGATAGATAGATAGATAGATAGATAGATAAGATAGATAGATAGCTAGAATGATGAGAGAGAGAGAGAGAGAGAGAGAGAGAGAGTAGAAGAGAGAGAGAGAGAGATTTTCTAAGTGTTTGTGTATACCCTTACATGTCAGTAGTGTTAAGCAACGAGGACATATAGAAAGTTGTTTTTATTTTTTAGAAAATGGAATTAGAAAAAAATAAAAGTAACAAAGCTGAAAACGTTTGACAAGTCATCAACAAAATATGAAATAATAATTAGCTGATTAATTTCAATAAGGAGAAAAAAAAACCACAAAACACACAAAAATTTTTATGTCGAGATCAAAGAGTTTTACATAAAGTAGCAATTGGAATTGATTAGAATATCGTATATCGATAAACAAAAAAGAGAAAACGCAGTAATATGATTGCAGAGTATAGTATACAAACAGGGTTTTTTTTTTTATAACGTTTGAACAAAAAAAATCTCAGTAAGGAGAAAGGAAAAATAAAAAAAAAAACATATTGAAAGTATAAATTTCCCCACACTCTTTGCTCTAAACTACAAGTAAATTCTAAGCTTTTTATTTATTTGTATTTTTTTTTTTTTTTTTTTTAAGTTTCTACCCTATCTATCTGCAAAATTTTATTACAAATGGTTTCGTACATGGTTCCAACCAGTCAGATAAGAATGAAAAGATTAAGAAAAATAAAAAATTTGTATCTTTTATATATAATTTAAAAAATCGATGGTTTGGTATATTATCGCTATTAATATAGATTTATATCAATGCCTACCACCATTTCTCCTCTCTCCTCTCTCNGGAAAAGGTTGGGAAAGCCCAAATGCGACTCGAGCGACATTTTTTGAAATTAAGAAAGAGTGTTTTTGTGGGTCGGTGGGGTTTTTTTTTAAGGAGGAAGGGCGGTGGTTAAGGAGGAGGGGCGTGGTTTAAGGAGGAGGGGCGGTGGGGAACCAGGTCCGGCGCTGCAATCGTATTTTTGTTTTTGTTTGCATGGATCTGTTCGTATCTTTTATAAACATTTTGATTTGAAGACTTTTTCACGATCGATTTAACCTGATTTGTTTTTCTAAATATATTTGTCCTTATTTCTCTGTATTTTATCTTGCTGCTTAACACCCTTACTTTCTTCTCAAAAGGAAAAAGAAAGAAAAAGAAATGAATAAAGAAAGAAACAACACATGGTTTTCAGAGTAAACCTTTCCTTATATAGACAAACGTT